AGGACAGTCTAGCAGCCTAGTTAGTCCGCCTCCTTTGGCCGCCAGCGGCCTAGCCTCGCCCTGCCATGTAGCATATTAGCCCTGTCTCCTTCGGAGACCGACTTGCCTATAGCCACTTTCTGTGTTACATGGTCCGCCAGGCTTGCCTTCGCCGATTGCTAGTGCCTCGGTTTGCCTCAGGCCATGGGTCAGGCCCCCGGCTTTGACCAGGACAATCTGCTCAGGCTCCCCTCAGAAGAGAGCCTTCCTAGCCTCGAAGCCACAGGCTTCTCGCTTATACACCAAGACGACCTACGATTCTTTCCCTCCAGCGAGGGATCAGCCTCGGCCTCTAGCCTTAGCGAAGTCAGTTCGCCAGCAGCCTCGCCAGGCCCACGTGATGCGTCACAGCCTCAGTTCGTCGCTCTTGCCTTGAGGCCTCAATTCATGTACAGGGACGGCCTTTACCGCCAGGTAGCATGTAGACCCCAAGCCTTCCGTTTCGCGTCCTCAGGTCGGATTCTTGCCGATATCTTGTTTGGCACTCAGTCTTGCTCGTTGCTCGTACTTTGCCTAGACTCTCGAGATTGGAGAGCCTTGCTTCTCGGCAACCGGGCCTGCCACGACAACTTAGCCGATCAAGCTCGCGCCACAGCAATGCCGTTGCCCTTTCAGGTCTGAAGCTTGTGGCTCCACATTGCCGAGTCCCAAGCTCAGCCCCGCCTCCTGCATAACAGCACGAATGCTCAGATCGATCGCATTGTTGACAGCGTTTCTGCTCGACAGTCAAACCCGCGATCCCTCACTATAGCCTATTAGCCTATCATGCCTCGCACAGCAGCCGAGCGCAGGGCTTGGGACGCCTCTTGGAACAGCCACAGCAGCCCGGCCTACCAATTTAACGCGGGGCAGCCTACGGGGAGCGCGTCTTCCCAGCTGAGCCAGATCCAGCGTCTCAACGCGGGCCTCACGGGCCCGTTAGCCTTTCAAGCAGACCACAGCCGCATGACCGACCTTTTGCCGTCAGCCTCCGTGGATACCCACGACGACTTTGCCTCTGACTTTCCCCGCGATCCTACAGCCTCAGCCCCCTCACCGCAGCTACAGGCAAATCAAGCCGATATTGCCGAACTTAATCGCCGCCTACAAAGCCTCGACCTACGAGTTCGCATATTGGAAGCCGAGCGCTCCGGCGCGCAGCAAGCCCTGTGGCATTATCACAGAGCAGCCAGAGATAGCCAACGCCTACGCAGCCTCATATCTCCGTGGGCTTTTATGTCTGCGAAGCTGGATCTGATCAGAAGCCGACTCAATCTCACATTCACACGCCTTGAGAACCTGCTCACGACTTTACAACAAGCCTGGCCCAGCTGCGCTGCCTACTTTTCACCAGCCGCTCTAGATATGCCTAACTATCAGGGGCCGGACTGGGAAGCCTCGGAAACCGATGTCTGACCCAGCCTTGCCTTTTCGATTCCAGCCTTCTGGCCTCTAGCAATCCGAGCCTCTGAGCGTCCCAAAACAGAATGGCTCATAGCTCCTTGCCCTCCTGTTGGTCGACCTTTCCTGCGCATACATGCCAGGTTTACACCGCCGCGCATCAGCTCGGGCCTCAACTAGCCGTCCCGTTCTTGCCAGCACACAGCCCAGCAGCGAAGCTATCTTGCTCAAGCCATTTCGCAACAACATTAGCCTTAGCTTACCAGCCTATGGCCCCTCGTCGCAGATCCAAGCCTTCATCGCCTTCTCCAGGTAACAGCCGGGGAGCGAAAGCCAAGGCCAAAGCCTCCATCAGGGAGGAATCCTCGATTTCCAGTGACATTGAACAGTTCCTTTCCGAAGAAGCCGATCTTGAAGAAGCAGCCCACGCCTCCGGTCCTATATTGCCGGCGGGTCCGCCTGCGGGCCCGCCTGCGGCCCACCTCCGCCTATGCCGGTCAACTCGCCTGCCCGGAGCCGATCCCCGACGCCCTTGCCGACCTTGCCTACGACATCTCCTTCGGGACCGCCCCCGCCGACTCCAGCCGTCCTGCCGTCGACTATGCCTACATCTACTAATGCAGCTGAACCTGTGGCACCAGCCCCGGCGCCTTTGGCAGCCACGGGTGTTGTAGCCTCGCCTTCCACGGCAATTCCGTCGGTCAAGGCTAAAGCCAAGATTCGCGCCCAGGGATGGCGCATTGAAATTTCCATCCGTCCTTTAAACGACTAGCCTCTTTAGCCTCTGCAGCCAAAAGCGTCGACAAACGCCGGCCATATTTATCGCAAGCTAGCCTACGGTTGCCGGTGCTTTTGCCACGCCCCAGGTCAGCCGTGTCATCACCTACGCCTCACACGCAGCGCCTCAGCCACAAGGCCTGATAGTCCGATTGGTCTGTCAGCCAGCATATATAGTCAGCCTTGCCTGCGCCAGCAATTGCATTTGCCTTAGCCATTTCTGAACGCTAGCCTACTCTTCAGCCATTTAACAGACCAGCCATGGAGCAGTCCGACTCAGCCTTTAAGCGTTGGCTTGCCACCCTCAGTGCCGAGGAGAAGCAGAAGGTGTTGCGGCTCGTTGCGGAGTCAGCACTCACAGATGCAGCCTCCTCCACAGCCGATGCAGCCCCAACAGCAGATGTGGCACCGGCCTCTTCATCAGCCTCGTCCCTGCAACTGGCAGGGCAGCCTACACAAGCGGCCTCGGGGGCAGACGTCCCCATAGCCTCGGACTCGGCCACTCAGAGTATTTTCAGCCAAAAGGAACTAGCCAACCAGTTAGAGTGGTACGAAGCCGAGCAGGGGTGTTTCCAGGGAGACATACCCCCTGAGATTTTGCCTTCCCAGGATTCATCTTCGCCTACCCCAGCCCAACCCGCTCCGGAGAATATCGAGGAGCGGGGGCAAGATGTTCCAAAGCCCCAACAGGAGCCTGCCGAGCCTTGGCTGCCGGCGGATACGCCCTGCCTCTACAAAATCACGGGGGCAGCGGTGGCCTATGCAGATATCGCCGATCTGGCCTGCTACAACCACGAGCTGCCTATGTTCTGGAAGTCAGCCGAGTCAATCAGCTTCGACAAGCATCTCAACCGCTTTGAAGTATGGGCGTTCATACAACGCCGGCCTATCTACCGCCCACAAGGAGCCTGGGCGCCCAGGTCAGCATTCAGTGGCATGCAGCCTCCACCACCCTTTTTCTGCGTGGCGGAGCCCCCGAATAAGCCTACTCCAGCACCAGCTCCAGCCGCAGAACCTCAGACCTCAGCCAAAGAGGCCTGGGCCGATGCCACGGACGAAGCCGATGATGTCCCGAAATCAGCGGCCCCGGAACCAAGCCCAGACACAGCCCGCCAGCCTAACAAACAGCCACAGTATCTCCGGCCCGTACCGGACCAGTACTTGCCCAAGCCGGGGGAGCCTACGATCCAGGTCAAGGCTATGCCTACACTCAACCCACCTCCGCCCAAGGCAGAGCCGGCTCAGCCTTCTCGACTGCCCCCCAGCAGCCTATCCAGCACCCAGAGCCCAGCCGCAACGGTGGTTGGCCTCGTCACAACCGATGGAAGAGATAAACTCAGACATCTGGGAGCCCACTGACAATGAACTCGACCCTCGCCTACGGCCTACTTACAGCGGAGCCAAGCCACCGCCTCCGTTCGGGTCGATCATGATCTACCACGGCAAGCCTTGGGTCAATGCCTATGGGGGCCAGCCACCGGATCATCACATGTACGCTGTTGATTGGCCTTGGTACACAGCCTATAGAGACGACCTCACATGCGTCGTGGCCGACATGCCGCCCTGGGATCTCGGCCGATGGGTCGAACTAGAAACAGCCGCAGGTCGGCCTATGTTACCCTCGCCTATGCCACAGCCTCGACCTGCCTCGCCTCCATCCTCTGACGACGAGGAGCCGCAATATGACAACTTGCCTCGGAGAGTCATCGACCTTGACCCAGAGCGTTGGAATGCCAATCTCAGCCGCTACTGGCATCATGGTGCGCGGGGGGTCGGGAACCCTCGCAACATTCGACAAGCCCACGGTTACCCGCAGGACGTCTTCCACAGGAGCAGAAACGAGCGTGTCCGCCCACCGGAAAGCCTCTTCTCCACCGAGCCGCCGGTTTTTGTCCCGAGGCCTCAGCACAGAGCCTTGAGGGGATGCATCATGTGCCCCAGCCTCATCTTGCCGGACACCTACCAGGTGCATCCGGACTACGCGCGAGCCTACTATCTAGACAACAACGGCCGCCTACGCTGCATGCTCCCATGCTCGACGACTCCATTTTGCCCATTTAATAGCGCATGCGCAAGACCTATACATGTGGGTACAGCCGAGACCTCTGATGACCATTCCGGTCATCAGTGTAGCCGTTGTAAGGAATTCGCAGACCTCAATCGAAGCCCATTCGAGTGGTTCGATGGAGTGCCTAGAGACG